ACTATGCACATGGGTTCTAGGGAGTTGCAGTAAACTATGCACAGGGGTTCTAGGGAGTTGCAGTAAACTATGCACAGGGGTTCTAGGGAGTTGCAGTAAACTATGCACAGGGGTTCTAGGGAGTTGCAGTGAACTATGCACAGGGGTTCTAGGGAGTTGCAGTAAACTATGCACAGGGGTTCTAGGGAGTTGCAGTAAACTATGCACAGGGGTTCTAGGGAGTTGCAGTAAACTATGCACAGGGGTTCTAGGGAGTTGCAGTAAACAATGCACAGGGGTTCTAGGGAGTTGCAGTAAACTATGCACAGGGGTTCTAGGGAGTTGCAGTAAACTATTCACAGGGGTTCTAGGGAGTTGCAGTGAACTATGCACAGGGGTTCTAGGGAGTTGTAGTAAACTATGCACAGGGGTTCTAGAGAGTTGCAGTAAACTATTCACAGGGGTTCTAGGGAGTCACAGTGACTGTCATGAAAATGTCATCATCATAAATGACTTTTATTAAATTATTATATCATGGACATTTGTCATGACATTATTTTTCTTAATCCATTGAATAATTCCTGATTTAAATCATGTGTATATACCTATCACAGTTAATTTAATTCTTAATATTTTGTTGACAGATGTGCCTTCCAGTCCTACATCTCCTACCAATGAAGCTGGCAAGTTTACTTCTACTTTACGACACTTATCTGAGGTAAGACTAGTTTGGTAATGTAATACATTTCAAACACTTACACCATTGTATATGCAAACAGTGCTTGTTTTTTGTTCTTTTTTTCAATCAAATAGAATATTATTTAAGTGTATACTTGAGCAAAACAAACAAGAGACTTGTGAACCTTGCAAAGGCTCCCTTGCTATTGATATTAATGAGCATTTCAATGACGTCTCAAATTGGCATAATTTACATATCACCTGATATGATGTCCGGAGAAATATAGACCAGTTATGTCCAAAAAACCTTCAGGTAGAAGGCTTCCAGATCGCTTTCTGTCATTTTCTGTGTTTGCTCTATCATAAGAGCCACCAATGGAGATACTGTGTTCCTTGCATGTTCATTGAAATTCCTTTTAATTTTGTATTTCATACAGAAAGGCGCAATTTGGTAAGTTACCTAACTTTCCGCTACCGGTAGAGGAATTTAACTCACAAAAATTGAAGTGTTCAAATCAGTGACTCTGGTTCGGTCACAAGCCTCTTGTTTGTTTTACAGTCTACCTTATCACAATAACCCTGTTTTTGCCATTTACACACTCAAATAACAATATATTGTATTTCTTCTCAAAATAAAACTGAATAATTAAACATTTTTCCTTAATATCTTCAAAAATATATTGATCAAGAATTTTAGCCTGTTACCAATCATGTCCATTATTGTTTCAAAATAACAATGAAATATAGAAAGATTCATTAAAATGAGCACAAAATGTAGCATGGAAAAATTATTCCATTCAAAGCTTTTATTGTATGTCTCACATTCACAGAAATTCAATACTTGGAATTTTTGAGGTATCTTGCAGTTCAGTGAACTTGTATAGACCATTGCTTGTTATTGAAACATGAAGGAATTGCATAGGGGAATTAAAATGGTTACATAGAAAAACAATCAACAACAAACAAAAAAATCACATTCAACTAAAAACAGAAAATAAATAATAAAAGTAACATAATGGAATACTAGTTACAAAACAAAATTTGTATAACTGTCTATTAATTAAAAAAAAATACTAGAACACACCCAATAATATTGTATATGTGGTCAGTATTATATATATATATTTATTCAAAAATACTGTAGGCCTCCGGCCTCAAGGTATACTCATTGTAATTACATAGCATGTTACAGAGGACAATGTCATTTTACAGTAACTGAATAAGAACAAGAAAATATGAAAAGAACATGAACTGTCAGACCAAAATAATTGTGTTATGTTTTTTTGTGGCGAGAAAAATAAATTTAGAAATATTACGCAAGATTACTACATTTTGTAATTGTAATAACGATATAAATTTTTCAGGTGAGGGAAATGTATAGTAATAAGATGGGATGTATTTAGATCTCAACTCTTGGTAACTCTTGGTCAGTATTTGGGGAATTTCAAGTTGGTTGAAAGAGTTTATTATACATGCGACTGTGCATTATCAGTGAAATTATGTTTTGTTAATCTATGAATGGCATGAATATGTGTGAACACCAGGTTGAATATAAACCTCTGCAATTTATCAACAGAACGTAAGTTTAGTCCACTAAAAGCACTGGAACCCTCCATTTCTTGGCATGTGTGAACAACGCTATAGTGTGACTTTGAAAGTCAATATTATCACAGAGTTCAAAAAATGTCACTGTGGGTTATTTTATTGTTGTCAGCAAATGTAAAATAACTATCAATATTACGAAAACAAAAATGAAAACATTTACACAATATACAAAAAAAGTATAAATTTCTGATGGTTATTCAAATAATAAATATAAGTGTGTATTAGTAAATTACAGAGGTGTTGATCAAAGTAAGTAATATTTAAATGATTTAGTATACAGCCAATGGTATTTTTGATTGAGAGCAAATATAGTAGGAATATGTAATATTTATTATTTATTTTAGGAACAATTTATGAATATTGTTGTCGAAGTCTGTGTATGAAATGCAGTTAAAATTAGATTTAGCATTTATGAATTTCAGATAAAAAAGTTATGATGAAGACACTAAAAAATGGGTCAAATATTGAAAATTGACCTCTGCTTATCGATTAGTTATTGATTAATTTTCTGTATTGATAATTAGGTTCATGTTATTTGTGGTTCAACTGTAAATTGGCAAAATGTAACCATGGATTCTAAAATTTTCCATTTTTCCCCAGCACACTTTTATTTCCAAACAATAAAAACTGTTTGTCAATATTTTCAATATACTGTAGAATACTTTATTTTCGCTTGGAATTTATTTTCGCTGAAGGGATGATTCCATGAAAATAAAAACCAGCGAATATACTTTTTTTCCTATATTTCCTATTAAACTCATCAAAAATCAGTGAAAATAAATTCCATACAAAACGCCCAAAAAGCCTTTTCAGCGAAAATTAATTCCAGCGAAAATAAAGTATTCCACAGTACTTGTAACTGCATTGTCATAATTGTTCAACCTCTAGGTTGAATGCCCACAAACGACCTCAATACTGGATTTCATAAACTGTTTTTGTGTATTTAATGACTGTTTCATGCGTGGCTACATAATGGCTTGTAACTTTAAAAGCTTCCTGTGTTAAGTTAGCAACGTTTGTCACATCCACGCCGCCCACATCCTATCAAAGCAGTACAGTAGCACTCCAAGATTATAGTAATATCCTAACTTTTACCGGATATAAATAATTTAATTTAAAGGTATATCATGTTTCTGATTATTGAGAGATTCTTTTTGTCTGAATTCATCCTTGTATTCTGTACTTCACTTACATTCTATGATGTGAGAACAGTAAATCTCCTGTTTTCTGTAATAAACCAAATATTCTCAATAAATGAATCATATTCCAACATTGATTATCCAAATATTAAAACAGTTTTCCTGAATCCTTTGGGTATCTATTTTCTATCAATTTTTAATTTGATTCTTATCTGCCTGTAACATTAATGCATGTGATACCTAAGATAATTAGAGAATTGCATCTACTGAGCATGTTACTGAGCATATGGCAGTGCATTGTGGGAGTTTAACTTTAATTGGAGGTTTGCATTACTGATCATGTTACTATGGCAATCAGAAATGCATTATGGGACATAAACTGTTTTCAAATGTATCATATTACAATTTTGTTTAATTTCTTAAAAATCAAAATTCTTTTCAGACCTCATAAAACATAATAATATGCTAATGGCAGATGTTTTTTTTTTTTTTTTCTTTGCAGTGTGGTTGGTATTGGGGTCCAATGAGCTGGGACGATGCTGAGGCCAAGTTAGCTGATACCCCAGATGGATCATTTCTTGTTAGAGATAGCTCCAATGAGAGATATTTACTGAGTTTAAGTTTTAGATCTAATGGTAGAACCCATCATACAAGGATTGAGCACACCAAAGGTAAATTTTGACGATTTTCCATAATATTTTGCACTCATGTATCTCGAAAAATTGTTCCATGAAACAAATTTGTATGTAGTATAATAACAAAAGTATGATGGGCATGAATTCAACTTGAATTCGACTTGAATTCGACTTGATTTTGACTTGAATTTGATTTGAATTTGACTTGAATTTGACTTGAATTTGACTTGATTTTCACCTGATTTTGACTTGATTTTGACTTGATTTTGACTTGATTTTCATTTGATTTTGACCTGAATTTGACTTGATTTTGACTCGTACCTTCTTAATGCCCTATTTGATTCACTGTGTTGGTAAAATTACACAATGCTTTAACTGTACATGCATTAATTATTTATAGAATAGAATATGCTTTATTTCCATCATAAAGAAGACATTTCTTTTTAGGTTCATGGTCGATAAAGTTTTATAAAAGGTTAAAATATTGAAAAAGAAACATAATAAGAAAAGTTGATTATTCTGGAAAGAGTTCATCTCTAATTTTGAATGGGGCACATGTGTAGTGTACTAGACGTACATGTATTGTTGTCTGTTTATCATCACTACCCACAATGCACCTGAATTTGTCAATTTCATTGAGTGTCTGGAATTCAATATTAACGTGATAACATTGAGTATAATTGACCATGTTCATTCATGTACAGTTGACACTTAGTTTTAAAATGTAACTCATTCAAATGACATCACATTTGGCACAAAGTCTAATATTTAAGCGAGAAGGTCGTCACCTGCGCAGATGTGAGAATCGAGTCCCAAGCAATGATAATACTAGCTAAAAACGCAAAGGCTCATGGGTAGACACTTGTTTGTAAACAATGACACGCTATGGCCATCTGACACATGCGCAGGTGACGACTCCCCCACTTCAAAGAGAATTATTAAAAATGATTTATTCTTAAAGTGGTTGTTGTACAGCTTGTGTTTAAATTTCATGTAAACAAACAATGTATTTTACACATCACACATCGAGTACTATATCGAACATGATGTTACACAACGACTACCGTCCTTTAAGTTCAGTTTTCTGTTGTTTGTGTCTGCCTGTTACATTATGTAGTCTGTGACAACTAAATTTGCTTATCATAAACAGAAGTTTCACTGCAAAATTGTTGTGTATTACCGAGTGAATATGATGAAAATAAATGAAATTAAATACTGGTGAAAATTAATGCTTTTACAGTAATTTTTTGTGCATTGATGGCTAAGGTGGTGTAATGGAGTAGTGATGTTTTTTTTTACTGCTGAAACCTACCAGTAGCTATGCATTGGTGAGGAAATGCTAAACAGATTAATACTGCTGTTATGAAGACCTGTGCTGTTTGGTAGTCAACGTCAGTACATTCACAATCAGTAGGGGATATTGATCAGATTTATGTGAATCCAGGGTCTTTTGCAGTCTGTTCTAGTTTAATCACTTGTCACCGTGTGAACATTTTGCCATAAAATTTCTATAATGTGATTTGCATCACAATGAAGTACATGTATGTGTCAGTGCTTGGCATATACTTCCACATGCAGTCAATATTAAATGTGGTTCGATTCCATCTCCAACTGTGAATTATGCACATCTGAAATAAAATACCCTTTTTTGACATTTATGCAAGATGCTGATTGCCCTAGAAAACATATACATAATTAAAAATGTTGAAATTATTCATGTTTTTTGTTTTCATTGTTTCATGCAGGGACGTTTGGTTTCTGGTCCCAACCACAGTCTCATGGTTGTTCATCTATAGTGGAGTTCATGGAAAAAGCCATGGCTCATTCCAAAAACAGCAAATTCTTGTACTTCCTGAGGCCACGATTCACCGGTGCCCCTCCAGTACCAGTACAGCTGACCTACCCTATCTCAAGATTCAAACGTGTCCAAACACTGCAGCATATCTGCAGATTTATCATCAGAAGATATGTCAGGCTTGATCATATTGAGACTCTACCACTTCCAAGCAAGGTGAAAGAATACCTTTTGGAGGGACAATACTATACCCAAGATGATGTTAGACCACCTGATGAAGATGAAGATTCTGATGAGAAAAACTGAGATGATATAATGTAAAATAGATCTGTAAAATATATATTGATATATATTTCAGTTTATTTTTTAATATACATAGAAAATATTTTGATATATTGAGTTCCAATCATCATGTGATGTGTGTGTAAAAGCATGCATGTAAAATTTATATTGGGGCATTTATAATTTATGTAAATATTATGGGATAGCAATGCCACTCAGTTGGTTATAATACCTTTTTTTTTAACATGAAATTTTTACTTTAACTATATCACTCCATACTATCCATGAATAAGTATTTTATAGGAAATGTGCAAGTTTAATTTAAAATGTTTTGGTGTATATTTTTTTTTTAAGTCATATACTGTAAAATCTGTTTACGTTACCAAGGAGACAGTGTTTTGTTCTTCAAAATGTTGAGTATATCATGTGACTTCGTAAAAAGTTTCAGTAAAGGTCAAACATTATAAATTATTGATATGTAATTGCTACCTATAATTATTTTGAACAAAAAATGTAATTTTTCCAAACCGAGATCTCAACATTTTGTACATACATTATGAAATTTGACAAGCCTGTCTTCTGTTTCAAATCACGACATTTAAATTTTTTTAATGTTGAATCCTGCTCTTAATCAGCAATTTTGTTATCTGAAAGTACAATGCTTGTTGCTAGTGCAACCCCTAATTTTAAAAGTACACTTCTTGTGCTAGGGCAACTCCTGATGTTCAGAAGCAACTTCAGGATGAAAATGTTGTTTGTATTGCATTGTGGGACATTTGATCAGCAATGTTTTTAAGCCTGCTGATGCTGCAATGATGATCACTTGAAGAAATAACAAAACTTGGAAACTTGTAACCTAATTTCGAAAACCAATCGACAGTATCTCAAGATGTGGTGAATTATTCACCATCAGTGTGACTGACACAAAATATTCAGTAAACTGACACAGACTTTTTAAGTTTTTAGGAGCATAGTATGTTTCTATGTCAGTTATTTATCATTCATCCAGTTAAATTACATTTGATACTAAGTTTGAGAGGGACTATTTTTTTAATGGAAAGAGATGTTTGATAAAAAGCTTGCCTGTAAAAGGGTTAAATTTACTATGCAAATATCATGTGCATGTTTTCTATGTGCCTTTATTACAACACAGAAAAGTGCTAAATTAACGTGTAATTGACTAGAATTTCTTGCCGTTCTTTGTTTTTACAGTGTTCCCACATTTTGTGATGTTTTTCTAGCTACAAAAGTAGTGGACATAACTTTTAATGACATTAATAATACCGGTCTTGTATGTTACTAGACACTCCCCAGCGGGTTCAACATGCTACTAGAAACCCTCTTTCGTAAAATGAGGAATACCCCCCCCTTTGCTCCAATAATTAATTTCTTCCTCAAAACCTTTATACTTTAAGTTCAGAGTAAGTTAACTATCTACTCAAGATATTGGAATAAAATTAATCACAGTATAATTCTGAAGATAAAATAGCACCACACAATGCTGCAAGATTGGTAGATGTGAACTGCTACAGCGCCCTCGTGTGGCAATTTTTTTTTTTAATTTTGGATTAATAGTGTAATATATAAATACATCTATTTGCCATGTAAGAATTATATAAATTAAATACATTTAACTTTTTGTAAATATGCTTTGTTCATTACGGGAAATCTATGTTTATATTTGTTTTATAAGTCTCAACTTCCATCAAAGATACTTTTTTTAGATGTCTTACATCCCATACAATACAACGATACATTTCCACATTAAATGTCACCTTTTTGTGATAAAGCACCTCATAGATTAATATTGAGTAAAATCAAGGTTATTCACACTTATTGCTTTCTTTGTTTGTGTCAAAGCCATCCATGTATATTCAAGACATTTATTGAAAAAAAAATTGTGTAAGTTAAAAATGTGATTGTAATTAACCAATGACATGAATTAGATTTGCATAATATTAGCATAATATTAGCATAATATTAGCATTTTGCATACTGATTAGCCAGTCATGTGGTTGGATCTATCTCTCAGTAAACAAGGTAAAGGGCTGTGTAATAAGTATTGAATACACATCATTTTAGCTAGCATGTTATTATCCATGTTATTACCCTATGTTTGGAGTTTGATCTGTCTCTTTTTACCTCCATGATCTGTCCATGTGTCCGACCGACATCATTTGGTTTGATGGTTTTGATGCACGTCAGTTCTCAGTTCACTTTTTGACTTGATTAAAAATGGCTGACTGTTGGCCATGTTGGTTTTATTTTCATGCATCTTTAAAGCGGGGGAGTGGTCACCTGCGCATGCGACAGATGGCCATAGCGTGTCATTGTTTAAAAACAAACGTCTACCCATGAGCCTCTGCGTTGTAAGCATGTGTTATCGTTTGTTGGGACTCGATTCCCGCACATGCCCAGATGACGACCCACTCGCTTTAACCATTTCTCAGAGATACTTGAAGAAAGTTGTCTTTGCTCAGTGGGTTTACATGCTGAATATTAGTATTTGTCTATCATTTAATTGACCGTTTCCTGTTTCCTGCGAGATCTTGTATTATATGTGAAAACAGAACAAACAAAGGTTATAACGTTGTGGTGTCAACAAACACGAAAGTATTCCAGGACATTTCCAAGCATAATATTGTGCTATCCACATTTGATGATGGTCAGTGTTTATGAAGGTATTCAAACTCAATATTCCTTTCTTCAAAGATCTACAGTTCAACATTGAATTGTAAAATTAAATTCAAGTTCATTATCAGATGTTTGGTTTGTGCCTTTAACACAAACTCTTGCAGTTAACAGAAATTTGCATGATGTGATATACATTATTTACTATAAATAATTGAGACTGTCACTAAAAACTAAAATGAGACTATATCATTAACGAGACTTCAATGTTTGGGCTAACTTAGTTACTCGTAGAACTTTATCTAAATTAAGATTCTATATTTAAAGAATTCAGCCAAATTCACTAAAATGGCATGTAGCCATTTCAATGTGTTTTGCCGTGAATTCCAAATATAGTGAATATTTTATTTTTGTAGTATTAAAAGTACACAATTGAAAATGTAATTTATGCAAATTATTATGGAAAGGTTATGTCAACACCTGGGATATTTGGGATTGGTTCAATTTCTCACTAATTTGATAGTTGATATTGTTAACCATGCAAATATAGTGATGCTGTTTTAGTGTTTAATTTTTCAAATCATATTTAGCATTTATAATGTTACAATATTATGATAGATGAGCAGTCTTTATCCCTGTTTGGAAGTATCTACAATTATACAAGTACAATCACCAATAATTTAATGGATGTCTGTGTTTTATAATATAAAAAATCAAGCCATGGCAACAAAACTTTGTCCTTTCATTGTTTAAAGAACGTCACTTTCTATTGAAATTACCAGACCCATTTACTACAATTTCTATAGGTGCATGGATATTTCTTCCATAACTATGCTTTATTGATCTATGTTTCTAAGATTACTGAAATATCTAGTAGAACAAACTCAATTAACATTTTAATCATCATTTTAATGTTGGGTGGTTATCATGCACTGCACATGTATATTTGCAAACATGAGGTTGGCATGGTGATTGCGGTCTTTTAAAAACATTCGTTTATACAGTTCACAAATTTCTGTATACTTTTCTATCAGATGTAATTTTCCTTTTTTGTATCGTCATGGTAATAGGCATTTCCAGCTTGTTCATTTCAATCTTGTGTCCTGAATATTCAGTCTTTTTGAAGTTACTTTTCTATTGAAATTGTACAATAAACTCCCATATACTGGATGGGCTAATGTCTTGCAGATTATGTTATTATTGTCCTTATGTCGGGTATGATCAAGACTTGGAACAATGTAGGCAGTGATTCTATTTTTACTGTCTAGTTTTCAAATAATATTAAAACTTATTACTCCTTGTTAGGACAAAGTACAAAAACTAGAACTTATAAATTTATTTGTGTGTCTGTTTATCATTCACAACTATATCTTGTGGATAAGTCTGGACTAATAACAAGGTCCATAGCATTAAGAGCCAAATAATTTCCAAGACTTTTCCAGACCTTTTCCCAAACTTTTTTGCATTTTTTCAAAACATTTTGACCCTTAATTCAGGCCAACATCATCACCAAAGTTCTGAGGATATGGTAGTTCCCTGGAAAAAATGGGCCTTTCTAAAATGTATTAACTATGAACAAATTTAAAGATTTTTCAAAGATTTTTTTATTTTTCCTGTAATTTAAAGACAACTCAGACTATCCAGACCTCAAAAAATCCAAAGACTTTCAAAGAATTTTCCCAACGATACGGACCCTGTATAATGTCATTATACATCTTGGGATGCACATACATTCATTTTAGCAATTTGATTCAAGATGGCGAATGGCAACCATTTTATGTTCAAAACTCATCAAAATCAAGCATTTCTGTGATTCCGGGACCGGATCTCAGTCATGTATGGAGAGATTTTGACTGGCAACCATTTTTTGGAAAATGTTTCTCCAAAGTAATATCTCTGACATGCTTTGATCAATCAAATTCAAACTTTATTCTATTTTTTTTTTGTCAATTATGTTCAAGATGGCCAAATGGCAGCCATTTTTATGTCAAAATTCACCAAAATCAAGTATTTCTGCCCTCTTGGTTACAAATGGACACCTATTGTCAATCTCGGTAAATACAATAAACGTATATATGACAGGAATATAATTTGTTTTCAGATTGGCTGACTGATTTCAGTTTTGTTTACTATTTAACTAACATTTGTAAGTATTCAACGTACTTGTACTTCTTGAGCACATATCATATTTGACCTCTGTAAAATTGTATGTGTAAAAACAAGAGTAAAATGCAAAATGATGTGTGAGGGCACCTCAGGTAACTATAATTTTTGCCTTTATTTATGCTAAGCATGTTTTTGTTTGGAGTAAAGGCAAATATACAGGTGTTCTGTGTCTGGATCACAAGCTCAGACTGGATGTGTATGCTTCATGTTCCCAAAAAAATATATCTGGTAAAAATAGATGGACTATATTTTGTTTGTTTTATTTTGTTGAATAATTCAAGTTGTTTCATTATGAATCCATCAATACCCGGTACTTCATCTTGGCTTTATTTCCCAGACAGTCCCACTTACTCAGGCTTTGTCATAGAATGTCTGAAAATGCTATCACATATACTCTAAAATTAACCAATTCTTTAGGCAATATGTCCAGTTATTTTTATCTAATATATAATGTAAATGTAATGTCTGACTAGTTGACATAAATACCACGGACTATGATTACCAAGTGGTACCGGTAGTTTTAACTTATTTTTTATTCACTCTACTAGTTGTATCATGAAACCAGCACACATTGGAAACGCACGTTTATTCATATAACCATGCATTTTGTAAAATAGAATATAATAATAATACCGGGAAAACGTGTTCGGAAATGCGTAATTTTATCTCTATTTTTGTACTGTCCATATAAGAATTTTGTATGTATTAAAGACAAAAATAGACAGTAAGTTAGGTTATCTGTTACCACAGTATTTGGGGGGGGGGCATTGTTTTTATTCAGCTGAAATAGTTTATTGAATCTAAAACAATCACCCAAATCTGGGTATAGCAACCACCCAAGAGACGTAATATAGTCTTCATATAGAGGTGGTCATTTACACAGGTTTAACATACAACACGCATGATATTATAACAAATTTACCAGTCACACACAACATAAATATACACATCTCTGAAAGAAAACAGAAATTTATAAATAATTGTACGGTATTTTCCTCAACATTTCATTCGACTAATAATCATAAAAACTTGATTCATATTAATAGGATAACCTTTCTGATATATCTCTTTTATTCAAATTCCAACTGTTACAATCTTAATAAAATTTTACAAAAATACTATATTTATAACCACGTCTCCGATAACCAGTTTCCATGGAGACCATTTTCTTCTTCTTTATAATTTTCCCCGAATCTTAAACAATTTTCTTTCAGGCTACACATTTGGATAATGACTTTAATTTTGTCTCTCAATTCTCTTTCAATACTGCTTTCTCTTGTGTTAGTTAAAATTACAACAGTCATATTAAAAAAGTTATTGTGATAATGAGAATTGATGTGAAATTAAAATGAATGATTTTCTGTCTATTATTTGAGAAAATGAAAGCCAGATCGAAAACAATATTGCATCATGGAAATGAATTATTGACCAACCCTATATTTAATCAGCCCTGGATAACTGAGATACAAAAATTAATAACATTTGTAAAATCCAGTTCTGATACCCTGTAGTACATCAGCCACTCATTTAAAATAATTTGTTGATGGAAGAATTCTGGAACTTTACAAAATGTCGTTAACTGACAGACCACCATTAAGTACAATGTTATGAATCACTAAATCGGTTTCCATGGAGACAGACTATGGGTCCCCTAGTTTTATTTCCATTTTATCACTTGCACAAAATACCGAGCATTGAGTTTTAATAATTGTTTTTTTTTTCAAATTTAAATCAAAATAACACAATTACAGCAATATTGGTGGTTCACTGCATAAGAGAAAATACTGATAATGAATAGACATTATCTCATTGCTATGGTAACGATATGCATACCAGACTGACAACTTATTACATCAACATTACATGTATAAACAAAATACTGCATTTAAATTCACAATGCCTTATATGGTGGTCATTAGCCATGCAAATTTATTCAAACACTATTAAGTAGTCCATTCATTGGCATTAAAAAGCGATTTTCTGTTCACTGCAAGACGCATTGCACGTATCGGGTGTATTGCAAGAGGCACGGACCACACTGTCTGCCACAAAAATGTAACGATTTAAACCTTTTTGAACTTCTTTTTTTATAGCTCAAAGCTGAGCTTCCAGTGAAGAATAAAGTGTCAAGATACCCTTACTTTATCAAAATTTTAGCATTATCAAAAACACTTTGCATTTGTTGAATCTCATGTGATGTTCTGCCGCCAGGATTTTTGTTTATCCTGTTTTTACATTCGATTGCACGCATAATGCGGAATCTTGCAGTGACCAAAAAATGGGTAACTACCATCAATCACAGATCACCAAATTGCAGATCAATATTTACATTGATAGTATTTTCTATCAATCAATAACATTTTCGAGCAATAATTAAACATGAAAATAATACATAGGAAAAATGATATATTATATATTACGTCTAATGCTATGAAGCAGAATTTGAGTTTTCCTATACACATTAATTAATAGATCATGGTTTTCTATTGTCTTCTACGCAACATATACATGTATTGACGTCTCAAACCTGGTACCGGGGTAACATGCATAATTAGATTCTAAGTAAAATTGAATTACATAAACATAAAAAAACTATTGAAAAAAATGTGAATACCAAAAATACTAATAGTTATACCGGTAAATGTATTGCCACTCAACGTGTTAACTTTCGTTATTTGACTAATAATGATAAATTTATTCATAAAATGGAGGGAAGTGAAATGATTTTATTACTGTGTGAACATTAATGTGTGATAATTAATGTTTTCTCAGTTCTGGAGATGAAACCAAAACTGGCTGAATTGACCAAGAGAATTTAAAACACCAAAGAGATCATGCATAGACCATGCTACAACCCCTATCACCATTAGATAATTTTGAAATGGAATGAACTGCCAACTGAGTGTAGGTTTTTACCATTCGTTATAGGGATGCCATAGCATCGTTTTACAAGATGATCTCATTCTTGTATCCCTGGCCCAAGCTTTTGTCGGGAAGTACAACAGAGTTAAGAATAATAACTTCAGAAGGAACAGATACATTTCGTCCTGTGAATAGAGGCATTGCAACAAATTAGCTACATACTGGTTATCTAGTAACAGTTTTCCCTAATATTGATAACTGCGATCAAAACTTTTATGATTGGTGAATTAACCTTTTCACCACCAGACTTTTTCGCACAAATTTATCTGCACTTTTCTCTTTTATTCTTGAACATTTCTGGAAAAGAACCTTAATTTTGCAGCCAAAAGACAAAATTTAATTTAATTTTTACTTTTTACTCAAAAAATTTGCTATTTTTGTCCTAATCTTCTGAAGGAAAGTGCAGACTATAAAAGGGTCTTATTTTGTGAATTTGTGATATAAGGAACTGGAACTGGTGGTGGAAAGGTTAAAGATGCATTCTGGAGTGATTTTTTGTATTCTGATTGGCTATAATAATACTATAATTATATATTATATACAAAATAACAGCTATATTTCTCGCAAAAATATCAACAAAAACAAAAATGATGAAATAAACTACATGCACAATATTTGTCAGATTGTGACAGCAACTTCCTCATTATTCCATAACAATTCATAGAAGTACCGGGGGTAACTGATGGTTTAAAACATTGAATGCCATTTTCTTTGCCAAATTTTAGTTCAACATTTCTATACTTGTTTTAATAATTTTGGATCAACAGAATATTTTTAACAGGTCTGGTTGAAAAACATGAAAACAAAATTGGCAGATTTATTTTGTAAAATGTGACAACAGATTTTGGCATTCAAATGGTTGAATAATACAGAATTTGTACTATTTCACATTGAATGTAGTGTGCATGAGACACTGATCTTTGAGTTGATATGAACATACACAGGTCCATAGTTGATTCACCAGGCATGGTATGGTATGGTATAGTAAGTCACAGACTGAGGGATTATCAATGGGTTGTCACAGACTCTGGAATAACAAATATATTAACCACCAACAACTCTGGGAATACTAACGGGTTGATGTTTAACTTAATGAAACACAGAAAGCTGAGATATTTATGTAACAACACGACTCTTAGATGAATTAAAGAAACACAGTTACTCTGACAACATTGTGTGTCAATACTACACACGTTCATTCATACTTCACATACTCATTTAAAAAACATAATATAGAAGAAAGGGGTACATTTCAGGTGAGGTTTACAAAAACTTATTTATACATAAAAGACAGGGACAACATCAAACTTTATCTCTATATATATATAATTTGGAGATTTAAGATTTAATTGAATTTATAATCTTTACTATTAGTAGCACCAATCTCATTGCTTACTGTCTGTGATGTTTGAGAATAAATGTCACATTTGTAATAATTCCAGCAAATGCGAATGGATCACAGATTAAAGTTTAATTCTGACCAAATGTTTGTAATAGGATAATTAGATCAATTTATCGATGTTGTCCCTTACATATTGGTTACTATAGAAACAGCATGCTCTAGAATATTGTGTTGCTGTAGCAGAATTTGATTTTTGACACTGAAGACTGGTTGTCCTGGCAACAATGTTGCTAGAGCAGGATTTGTTTTTTGAAACTGATGACTGGTTGCCTTGGCAACAGTGTTGCTAGAGCAGGATTTGGTTTTTGACACTGAATGTGATTTCTTTGTATGGAAGAACAATAGAATTAAGAATGATGATTTCTGCGGGAACGGTGACATTACGACCTGCCAAAAAAAACAAAAACAGTACAATAATGATGAAAATAATCATCATCTACAATGTAGACGACAACAAGAAATGGATATTACCTGATTCATAACTAAGGATAGTGACGCCTGGACACTGGAGTTGATCACATTAACTTTTAACATTTCAATCTTCCTTATTAAAGTAAACATAAAATCAACTTTCATTGCAATGTCATTTTAACACCTCGCCTGCTGAGAGCCTCCAGATGTACAAAAATCAATGGGGGAAGGGGGGAATCACCAGGCAATATGTAAATGTTTGGTAAATTGATTGATGACATTTCACAGATATAAATCATATTGACATGATTTTAATAAATGTTACTCTACAACTTTCATTGATTCAGTTTTGTATTATCATTTTCATTTACATAATTTTGTGTTATCATTTTCATTGAGGCAATTTTCATTGAAGTGTCCACAATGTTTTTAATCATTTTCATTGCTGACCTTTGTCACAATTTCATTGATATAATTTTTACTGATAAATGACTATTCATTTTACTTTCGTTACTTTTGCTTCATTTGTTTGAAACGGATGTAATTTTAAACTTGATCAAAACTTCTGTAATTATACTGGCCCAGTTGGTAAAAATCATTAAATTAAAATTAAACAAGCCAGATTGAAAAAAAACATTCAGTCAATATTGTTTTCTAAATTGATATTTCATTTGTTGCTGCAATTAGTGTCATGTTAACATTAGACTCAGAAGTTGATGACAAAACAAAGAAATTTGTCAGACATATCACATATATACAAAATCACATATCACATAACAAAATCACATAACAAAACAGACATTACAGATACTACTGTACATCATTTCTAACAAACCATCTATAAGCCTATTAGTCAAACAACATATAACATTACAATTTCAATCAATAAAACAAGGTACTTTCATGAAATTTAATTGCTTAAATAATGGAGGAACTTCATTGAAATGAAATTTCCCATTATAGTGTTCATCCAAATTGGTATGATTTTGCACCACAGATAAGTATAATGTGGATTACCGGTACTTCCTTTCAGGTAGAATTCATATTCATGATTCCAGTTAAAAACATACATACTGTGGAATACTTTATTTTCGTTGGAATTAATTTTTGCTGAAAAGGTATTTTGGGCGTTTTGCTTGGAATTTATTTTCACTGATTTTTGTTGAGATTAATGTAAATTATAGGAAAAAATGTATATTCGCTGGATTTTATTTTCACGGAATCATCCCTTCAGCGAAAATAAAGTATTCTACAGTATATATTCCAGCAGGTTGATTTGATGTCCCTTCAGTGAAAATCAAAGTAGTCTAAAGTATTCATTTTAAATTTTCCTTGTAGTGAAAAGGAATTTGCATTGGCATTGATACAGTAAAGCTAAAAAAATACACTGCATCACATATAGGCAGCTGAGTGAATAAGTCATCTCAGATTTTATAAGTTCATTTTGTTTTATTTATATTTTAGGAAAGAACCGTAACATAAAATGAGAGTTACATCATTACTGTACAGCAACAACAACAACACAAACAAAAATGCATTATTTATAACACAGAACAAGATGGTGGCATGCAAATGAAAATGTGAAAAAAATTATTTATTCATCCACAGTGAAATGTTGATACATGCGCTAATATGGATTGTGGTTAGAGTAAAACATAGAACCTAGTGGTTTAATAAAGTAAATTAGTAATGGTGATTAACCACAATTGACTGTCATTACACAACCAGGGTCTGAAAATAGTTTTACCTCAGTTCCGACTTACCTAAAATAGTGATTGATGGGTTCAAGCGACCATCATTCTTGAACAAGGTATCACCTTCAATTTTGGTGAATGGTGCATTAGGATTTGGATCACATGGTGTACCTTCTACCCTGGACCAAGCCCCAACTGTACTGTTCCATCCCACAATGCTATGCAAAATACAGCAATGGTCCTGTAAAGTCATAATCATACATAGGTCACATTTTAGAGTAGCAATTGGTGTGAACATTTTATTAGGTCAAATATAATTATATAGAGATGACTAAATCTCACCGAAATATTGTTTCAGACACTCCGGCATGGACAAAAATGACTACACGAGGCTACATCACAATAAATGGCCGAATAGTGGCCATTGTTGAAATCAGTCACGTAATGGGGACTGCAGAAAGTTGTGACACATAATGCACACTATCGTTGCATCTGTATTAGAAGCCGCATCTCTGATAGAACTTGCACCCATTCTTTTTGAACAATTGAAAACAAAAATTCATCATTTCTCATATGTGTAGATGCTCTAATAGAAACCGCATCACCTCTGTTGTATTGTACATCATTTTAAAAGAAGCCGCGGCTTCTAATACAGATTTTACAGTATTACATCAGTGAAAAGCTTTTACTTGAGGTCTAGCTACAGTTTATTTTTTGTGAATAATAAACCAATAAACAAAAATTCAATAACTAATTTTTAAAATAAACAATAATTATGTATATTGTATTTTATTTAACAAACACTAGAGGGCGATGTTGACACAAGATGAAGTTCCTTACCTCTAATTTAGATCCAGCCAATAGAATAGATTCTCTGACTCTCACACCAGGACCAACACACACACCCACTCCCACTGTTACATTTGGGCCAAGCTGAAACCAAAGGAAAGATTCAAACTCAACTCTGCACAAAAAAGGGAGAGAGGCTACATAAACACGTCTCAAACAAATTACAGGAAGTCAAAATAAATTCAGTGTTTATGATGTTGAGAAAATGTTATTATTAGTGTTGTGTAGTTTTTTTTTTAATCAAAAACATATAATATATTTTACAATAGACATTTACAATAATTTATTTGTTTGTTTTTCATCTGCAGCATTTGCATTTCGAGAATGTTTATTTTTAAATTCAAACTCTTCAAAATCGTGAAACATATTTCAATAAAATAAAATATTTGCGCTGTGTCCGAGCTCATTAATATTCATATAGCTCATTAATATTCATGAGCAGTGTGACTTTTTTAAAATAATACCATCATGCTCCAATGTTATTGTAGCATTTAACTGCACTTGAAGCCACCTCCCATTACTGATTTCATAGTTATCAGGATATTATACTTACAGTAGCTGTGGAATCTACAATGGCTGAGGGATGGATGAATACATCACCAATTATTTTAGGTTTTCCTTCTCCATTCTTTGACAAACGTTCTGGATGATATTTGTGGTAGAGTTCTAAACAATGTCTGTTAGCGTAAATAGCAGATCTATAAAGACAAGAAAAAACAACATAAAAAAAAATGTGTGTGTCAACACATTCATAACATTGATCTCACAAAAAAGAATGAAGCTAATGTAACAAGGCAAAAGTGTGTTAGGCAAAAAAAGGTTGTGTCCCTTTCACAGATACACATTTTAAAGTTTATAAAATTATAATAATTTCCAAATCTTGTGATCTAAAACTGATTACCAATGACTCTTGAGGCCACCAACCACTTAAAGGGGCATATGCTGTAAAATTACTTTTATTTCACAAAAGACATGAGACATGACATGTAGGCAAGTACATGTACTCACTGAACACCAAAGATAGAGAGGTCAAAGGTTACAGATCTTTAAATATCATACATTATCACATGTTAATATGACCTTACCCAGCTGATTTGATTTGACTCCAAAATCTAGTTGTAGTGTAAGCGTAAAGCTTCCCAGTACCGGCCAATGGAGCTAACACATCTTGTTCCAGACGTATAGTATCTCTGTTGTACGTAAGAGTATCCATACTGCCGCTGTGAAATACAATAGAAATAACACTACAACTTGTACCATATTTATCAGGCTAAGAGCCCATGCTAAGAGCCCGGACAAACGCCCACCCCCCAATTTTGATAAAATAAAGGAGTTGAGGTCATATCCCACGCCCAGGGGTGTTTGTAATAAAATAAAAAAACAAAAACCTATTTTTGTCCGTTGTATTAACAGTTTACATCCTTGCAGTTTGTTTTGATTCTGATAAAAAAATTTGAAAAATAAATGTAAATTGCGTAAAATGAGGAGTGAATGCAAAAAACGATGAGTGAACGCGAAATAGCTGTGACATAAATAGAGCAGCGCGTTCACCACTGTTTACGTAGTTAGCGTCGCAGACAATGAAACCAATGTTGCAATAATGTAGCAACCCGTAACTGGGAGAGTGGTTTGAAGCACGATTGTTTTGGCTTTATAAAATATTTGCGAATCCATAACTGGGGCCAATTTTGCAATGTCATGACGAAGACTACCAACTTTGTTACCATCTTTCACCACTGCTATTGCATTTCATGGAAATTATTCTTCTGTCGTTGGAAAAAAAAATCTTCCTATTTCAAACCCGCCAGGATATCCATATAACTTGCTGAATGGTAACTTTAACCGTGATTGATGAACGAACGCCTAGTCTGATAAAAAAGCAATGTTGAATTTACCTCCATGACGAAACAGTAGTCGTGATGTCATTCTTAGCCAATCAGTAAAGTGGATGCTTAAAGGTCAAAGATGATTGCCAGACAGTAAACAAAAGCATCATGCGAGCTGTTTGCCGCGACCCCATTTTTCTTGTCTCTTTATTCTGATTAGACGTGAATTAAAAGTGCCAAGCTACCAGACAGCGAAATGTGTGGATTAAATGTGATAAGTCCAAATTGTGTGGGACGACATCGATAAACTTCAAGACGAAGCTATAGGGATTTTAGTTCTATCGCTACAGTGGCGCCGACTTGGAATTTCAGGGTTTTGACTTTTACGAAGATAGCAATGAACGTACAAATAGAGATCTTAGAAGTTTTGGTTTTTTCTAACAACTATGAACTTTCGTAATTTTACTGCGCAAATTATTATTGATCTTGTATGGCTGTTG